AGGCTTAGACCTTGGACAGGGTACTAGGCCTCAGTTTCCTTGAGTTTTAAATGAATAAAGTGGATTAGATAGATGATTTTTAAGTTTCTTTCTGGTTGTGAAAGTCTGACGTTTTTAATATTATAACTCTATAGCCTTTACTTCAATGTGCCTGTTGCTTCAGAGTTGTTCTATCTGTACCAATCTGGTTGTTCTTCCATAGTCGAAATCCTTTGCTATTCCAACTCTGCTTCCAAGGGGCTGACATCATAAAGCAGTGCTCATCCTCAAACACTCACAGAGCAGAATTTCAGTGACATAAGAAAACAAAATGGCTTTAGGGTTTTCACTACTCTCTGCACCATTTTATAGTCTCAGCAATAGTGTATGAAGTTTCCAGTGTGTCATACCTTCACCAACACTTGGTATTGACAGACATTATTTACCAATCTCATGCGTATAAAATGATACCTTGTTGACTTACATTGCAGTTACTTTGTCACCAGTGATGCCAAGCATTATTTCATGTGCTTATAGGTCATTTGGGCTTCCTTTTCAATTGCTAAATCCATTTTTCTTAGGGGTGAGTTTTTTCTTATTGATTTGTATGAGGTCTTTACATATTATGAATAGATTGTGGTTTGTCTTCTGATTTTCTTTATGAAGTCCTTTGTCATATATAATTTTTGAATTTTCTTGTATTTAAATCTATCCTGTTCTTTTATGATATGTGTTTCAAGAAATTCTTTCCTACCTTGAGATCATGAAGATATTCTCTTTCTTTTTCCTAAACTCTTATAATTCAAATTTAGAGTTCACAATTATGCTCTTATATATTCAAAACTGGTGTGATTATTTATCTATCCCAAGTTGACATGTGAAGTAATGATTTCATTATCTTCTTCCACATGGATAGTCAATTGTCCCATTGGAGAGAAAGTGAAATAAAATAGAAAAGTGAAATAAAATAGAAAAGTAATTCTACTAGTACTATAGAACAAAAGGAGAAATAAGTGAAGAAAATCCAAGCTCTGACTAAAAAAAATACCAAAGCAGGGAGTGGGCACAGACCAGTCCATTTAAGACAAACTGGCATCTGTGAGACATTAATGGAAGAGGATATTATTCAACAGCATTTATTTTTTTTATCCTGTCTTTGCCCCCTGCAGCCATGTATACAATATTCTTTTCCCTGTTTCAGTGTTTTTTTCAATTACTTATATGTTTTTTTGGTAGTAGTAGTTTCAGGTGTACAAAACAACATAGTGATTAGACATTTACACCCCTCACAAAGTGATAACCCCAACAAGTCTACTACTCATCTGACACCTTACATAGCTATTACAATATCATTGACTATAGTTCCTATGCTATACTCTACATCCCGTTACCATATATATATATATATATATATATATATATATATATATATATATATATATTTAAATTATAGTCGACATTCAGTATTATTTTATATTAGTTTCAGGTGTATATTTTTATTTCTAAAATTTCAATGGTTCTTTTTCACCTCTGCCTTTTATCTTAATGTCCTATTCTTAATGTTTTCTTTTCATTTTCTCTCTTTGAACATATTAAACATATTGTACTAGTCTGCTTCAGCAGCTGTATATAAAATTCCACAGACTGGGAGGCTGAAACAACAGAAATTTATTTTCTCACAGTTCTGGAGGTTTGAAGTCTAAGGTCAAGGTGCCAGCAGGGTTGTTTTCTGATGAGACCTCTCTTCCTGGCTTGCAGACAGCCGCCTTCTTGCTGTGTCCTCACATAGCCTTAGCTCGGTGTATGAGGGTTGAGAAAGATTGAATTCTTTAGTGTCTCTTATTATAAGGACACTAATCCTAATAAGTGATAGCCCCACCCTTATGACCTCATTTGACCATACTTACGTTCTTAGAAACCGAATCTCCAAATAGGAGATATAGCCACACAGGAGGTAAGGGTTTTAACATGAATTGGGGAACAGGGGGAGACACAGACATTCAGTCCACAACACATTTTAAAATATTTCAGATTGGTCTATCCTCTGTAATTATAACATTATGAATCTCATTTATTGGATCTACTGACCTGTTACAGCAGTTTGTTTCCTTGGGTGCTTTGTAGTTTTTTCTATGAGCTTCCATAGAAATTGTTTTCTATTATAGTCTGTAGGTGCTGGGGGCACATATTTGTGGGGGAGAAGACAGTACAGTGACAGTAAGTTATAGAAAATAAATGCTTCCTCAAACATCAAGAACTCATTTGATATAAATCAGACATTACATTTTAAAGTACAGGAGTTATAGCAGAAGCTGATTATAATATCATTAGTAGAGATAGTATTTTAATTTCATACATGTCTATATTATTTTAATATTTATATGCTCAAAATTACTTTCAGGAATTCATGAAGTATAACAGTCCACATCAGAATAAGAATTGCTTGAACAATTTTGACCTGTCAGAATACAGACAGATTCTTAGTGATGTGGCTATACGAATATATCATCGGTTCATTGCCGTAATGGAAAATAGCATTCAACCAATAATAGGTAAGAAAAGAACTGACCAAAAAATATTTATAGTAACATTGAAACCTTAAAAAATAAATCAGGTGTATGGAATGTGTGGGTACAAAGAATATAATTTTAAAACCAAGAAAATTCAGTTGTGTATATGTCCAGTTTTTAATTCTTTGGTTGCTTGAAAGGATTACATATGTAAAAGTACTTGGTTCATAGTTTTCTTTCTGCAAGGGTGATTCATCCTGAAGAGAAAAACTTGGGAGAATTACTTATATGGCTAATCCTGGGTCTTAGTCAAGTGTTTTTGAAATCCTAAAGTCCCTCTCGAATTCTTGTATATCTTCTTCAATTTTCTGAAATTTAAATACTTCAGGCTTTAAATGGTTCTAGACCATGTTACTGGGCTAACCTGTTCTCTTTCCTGTGATGTTGAAAGAAGCGGTGCTCCAAGCCTAGAAGAGGGGCTGCTGCTCTGTTGTAAACAGCCATCCATTCCCATCACCCCTTACAGCCTTGTGCTCCCCAATCCTTGATTCTCTTGCTTTCTCTGTCACAACTTACATCCACTTCTAACTCTTGTAGAAAATGCCCTACCCCTTGAAACTGACACATAAGAGCAGTGAGAAATGCCCTGTGTGTGCAAGAAAAGCTTCCATTTTTCCCTGCAGTGCCAGGCATGCTGGAGTATGAGAGCCTGCAGGGCATTTCCGGCCTGAAGCCCACAGGCTTCCGGAAGCGGTCATCCAGCATAGATGACACCGACGCCTACACCATGACCTCAGTCCTGCAGCAGCTGAGTTATTTCTACAGCACCATGTGCCAGAATGGCCTGGACCCCGAGCTTGTGAGGCAGGCTGTGAAGCAGCTCTTCTTCTTGATCGGGGCGGTCACCCTGAACAGCCTCTTCCTGCGCAAGGACATGTGCTCCTGCAGAAAAGGGATGCAGATCAGGTAAAACTATAAACCATTGCTTACTCCGGAGAGGCTGGCCAGAAAGAATATTCATAAGGTCTGAGGCCACACACTCCTGTCCCTCCCTCCACAAGAGCTGCAGTGCTGGGGGTGGGGGCACGGGGTGTGTGTGTACAAGATGACTCCTGGAACCATGGAGCTGTCTGCTGTCTGTTGCCCAGCCCCTTCTCCCATCACCCTACACCACCCTAACTTGACGATCAGGCTGTAATTGGGAGCTGGTAGATTTTAACGTCTGGCCTGTGTGGTTATCATACACTCAGAACACCACCTCTTTGAGTAGCACTGTGTGGTAGAGAGCACAGGAAGCAAAGGAAAGGGCGATTTGATCCCTGCCCTTGAGAAGCTCAAAATAACTAAGTAATCTGAGGCAACCATCATTAAGTCAGAAACACATGATGCGAGAAGTACTTCAGGAAAATGATAGTATTATGGACGGAAAAGTTAAAGAAACCTGAGAGCTGTGTACTGAGTGATTTTAAAAAGGGAGAAGCACATTTCCAGGCAGAGGAAATGAGGTGAGCAAAGACGTAGTGATGGAACTGAGTAAGGACCGTCCTCACGCAGCACGCAGTCAGCTCTGTCCAGATGAGGCAGAGCTTTGTGTGGGAAGCAGGAAGACTGAGGTTGGATCCAGGCTGGGAGGGTCTACAATGCCAGGCTAAGTTCCCCATTTGGAATTCATCCTGAAGTCATGGTAATCTCATTGTGAAGTGTGNAACATGATTCCCGGGCTGCCGGCTCACATCCTGTTTATGTGTGTCCGCTACGCAGACTCTCTCAACGACGCCAACATGCTCAAGTCCTTCATGAACAGCACCATTAATGGCATCAAGCAGGTGGTTAAGGTAGGAACCACCTTTGACATTGGCCGTGGTATTATAGATGCTTTAGGAACACCTGTGGGAATGACCAGGTGCCCTTCCTGCGCCCATCCTTCACCTCCAGGTTTTGGCAAACCACGTGATTCCTCAGACCAGTCTGAGGCCCAATCAGTGAAAGAAGCCAAGCTGTTAGGAAAAGACAAGTTAGGTCAGGGATCCCCAGGGGTGGGGAACTGCAATAGGCCTTGAATCCTTACCTGCGAGTTTACAACCTGGTCGCCATCATCCCCGCCACTTCTTACCCCCTCAGGATATAGAGTCCTGACTCCAGCAAGTACACGTTTATTGATGTAACAAGTGTGAATGGCGAGGAATAGGGAGGACTGAAAAATTACTCATCTGTAATTCTCCCTTCTAAAACTACATTATGTACCTTAATTCCCAGCCCCGAAACAAAGATGAGCTGCATGTTAGTGAGGAAATAGTAAAGCATAGATGCAATATTTTTATCCCCTTTCCAATTGAGAAGCAGTGTTTGTTGTTGGGATACATTTGAGTTTTTAGTTGGGGAAGGTCCTATCTCACTTTTAGTAAAATGTATGTTTTAACAGAATCACAAGTAATTAAATCCATTTTTAAATACTCTAGGAAAAGAGAAGAATAAGAACAGTGAATGCGTGAGAGGTCAGAGTTTGAGTAATTCTCCTCTCCATCTCCCAACTAAATTTTATACCAAGAGTTCCTTATTCATTAGGAATTAGGAGGAGAAAATTTGCTTGGTGCTGGGTGCTTTATAGTCACTCTCTTCACAGGAGCCATCAGAATGTTCTTGGAAGGGGCTCCCATAAATCAACGTTTCCCTGTCCATATTTCCATAAATTAGGTTTTCTTTGCACACACTTGCGTTGTGTCCCAGGACATAGGCACACAGCATTTGCCCTGTCTGGCTGCTCTGGAATGTTTAAATATTTAGAAATCGAAAGATGCATGGCTCGAGGAGTAAAAACTCTTTCTCACCAGCATCTTTCGTCCCAGCTCCCCCACAGCCCCCTGCCTCTGCTTTTGTTGGTGTCCAGGACCTGCCCCTCCGACTCCAGTGCACGGTACATTAGAGCAACCCTCACTTGGGCCACACAGCCCTTCAGCCATCGTGCCTTCTCCTCCACCACCACTCCTCGACCCCCACCCTCCACTGCCAAAAGCGCGTGAGCTAGTGCTCTCCGCCAGTCCTCTTCTTCATCGCTTGCAATCTGGCTTCTACCCCTATCACTCCACAGAAAGATCACCGGTAATTCCTCTTGCTAAATCCCATGGTATGCCCTTAATTTTTGTTCTCCTTAAATGGACCGAAGCAGTAGTACCATCTCTTTGAAACCCTGGTACCTTGTCCTTCAAATCCCAGGACTGGCCCAGTTTTCCTTTTACTTCTCTGATATCGAATCTCTACCTTCTTTGCTTGTTCCTCTTCTTCCTGCGGCATACGTGGAGGTGTTCTCCCCAACAGAGTCCTAGATCTTGAGCTGTTGTCTCCCCACCCCCTTCAAGGAGGACATCCCCTGCCTCTCTCATGAGGTTTCTCACCTGCCCTGGTTCACCATCGTCTCTCCATCCTCTGAGTCTCTGTGGCACGGTCTGCGCCCATCAGGCAGGCAATGGGCCACCTAATTACTGTGCCCTATATATGTTATGTCTGTCTCCCCAGTCAGAGTGTGAACTTTGGAGGGCAAGGCCTGAGACTGACGTGTCCCAGGCATTGCTGCAGTGCCTGCATCAAGCTTCATAACAAGCGACAGGACCTATACAGAAATACTTTACAATCCTTAACCTGCTAAGTAAATAAAAGAGCT